AGTATGGAAAATAACTATGAAAGAAGAGTTTGGTGAAAATGAAGAACTTGTACATGGTACCTAGTTGATTTACCATTTAATAAAAATGATATTGAAGTAATTTGGGTGTTTAAGATGAAACACAACCCCAATGGATCAATTGCAGGCACAATGTCAGATAACCTACTAGAGGTTTTATTTCAGGCTTTGTTTGGGGTTTAGAGGAGAAGGGAGGGGAGGGTTTTGAAAAAAAATGGAAGGATTAAGTGAAAATAATAGAATGATTTTAAGTGGGGAGGGTTTTGGAGGATTTATTTTATTCATAAACCAAAATCCCTCTAATTTAGAAGAACTAAAAAATAGTATTGGAGGAGGGGTTCAAAGGGCTTAAACAAATTGTTCAAATATAATTTAGGCTTAAAGAGTTAATTGGTCCCTGTAAGTTGGCGTGTTTTTTATTTTGATTTTTTGTATCTTTTTTTGGATGAAATACTCAAATGTTGATTTCCATTTGGTTTTAGTTCTTGACGTTACCCATCTGTTACTAAAAAGGTGATCTGGCTAACATTGCTCACGTAGATTTATTTTTTTAAGTTTAAATTGTTGATGAAGATTTATTTTTTTAACTTCCAATTGTTGATGCAACTTTTCTCTATTGTTGAAAGAAATATGAAAAGCAAATGGAGGCGTTTGTGGTAGACACATGGAGATTGTCACAGAGGTAGAAGAAGCATCCATCCATTATCCATGTTTCATTCATTATCCGAGTTCAACATTTTCTTTGATATAGGCTGACAAAGAGAGCTATTGGCCGAGGTTAAGTTAGTTCTTTTGATCTTTTTTTGGTGCTTGTCTATCAAAATCAAAGGTGGAAGTTTAAAGATGAGTTTTAGTTTGAATTTTCACTATGGGGGTTAAATTTATTAAGGAATGTGTATTCTATTAAAAGGGGGGGGGGGGGGGGGGGGATGAACATGCAATAAAGGATATTAATCCTGATATGTGGAGCCTCTTTGAAGCTACATGAATACTGAAAGACTTTATTGATATTGATCCTTCAGAATATAGGTTATGGTTTTATAAAAATAATGAGGATAAATATAAGATAATGATGAATGATAAATATGCTAATAAGGTTTATAAATATGCGAATGAAATGAAATATGTAGTGTACTTATATGTTGATAATTTAATTAAAGGCATGGTTGGAATTAATGTTGAAGAAGAGGAACACGATGTTGATGGAGTTAATATTTAAGAACAAGAATAACATGATAATGGAGTTAATATTGAAGATAATGAACAAGATGATGGTGGAGTTAATGTTGAAGAACAAGAACAACATGATGCTGAAAATAATATTGAAGAATATACACACTTTGATGGTGGAATTACTATTGAATATGAACATAGAGATGTAAATAATGATAGTGATGATAATGATTATGAAGCTACTGATGTAATATTTGATGATAGTGAGGAAGAGATGACTCTGGGTTTGGATGATGGTTTAAACATGGAGGATAAACAATATGATGTCAATGACAAAAAAAGGTAAGGTAAAATGTGTTACAAAAAAAGCACGAGCAAGTTTTAAAGAAAATTTTGAAGGGTGTTGAAAATGTAGGTTCATAAAGGTGTGTGGATAATGAGATAGAGACTAACTATTATAGTGATGAGCTTGGTAGCAGTGACCCTGATACTTTAGATAATGAGAAGGGACCAACATATGATAAGTTTAGTATGAAGGACAAGAATTATAACTCTAAGTATACATATATGGCATGCTATAGTTTTAAGGTAAGTCCTATTAATGGACAAGACATGTGGCCAGAGGTTGATGTTGAAGAAATGCTACCTCCATCCTATAAGAGATGACCTGGAAGACCTAAGAAGTCGAGGAGGAAGGAACATGACGAGGACCCTAATAAGGGAAGGACACAAATAAGTTATTGTTGCACAAATTAAGGTATGTATGGTCATAATGCAAGAAGATGTACTAGTCTCGCGGTTGACCCTAAAGCTCAAAAATTAAAGGCATACATGGTCATTCAGTTGTGTCATTTATTAATTTTATTACTCTATTACCAATTTCATTTATGTTATTAATCATGTGGTGTATTTTTAGAGAAAACCAAAGAAAAATGAATAAATAAATGTATCTAGAACTACAAGCCAGGAACTATTTATTTCTAGTATTGCAACACAAGACCCTAATGCATATGTAACTGAGACTTAAGAACCACCTATTTCCAGTATTTTAACACAATAATAACCTAATGCATCTGTAACTTCACCAAGTGATATTGACCACAAGTTTGAAATGCTTGCTATAAACCTTACTGCACACATTCAAGGCAACACAATCTCAACCAAATATGAATGATGTAATATCTTCACTTGTTACAACTGCTACACATGCACCTGTTCAAACTATTGCACACGAGTCTGATATATCTCTTCACGTACCTGATTACATTTTGTCTGGACCTGTTGAACACGAGGTGCCTCATAGAACTATTTCTACAGTAGTAGGAACTCCTAAAGTTCTTAAACCGGTTGAGTTTCTGCAACTTGCTACAAATATGTTTACATCATATTGTTTAATCTTATCCATCATTTCATTTGTTACGAAGAACAAGAAAAGTAAAGCAAAGTATGTAATGAAATTAAACTTGAAGTGAGGAGAAGTAATAGAACAAGGGTTATAAAATGCAAGAACCTCAAGGGAGAAAGAAATAATTCAACACAATTAATGACTTTGTAGACATGAAACATCTTAGTGGTATATTTGGGATGATATATCTATGTTATGTATTTTGAGACCTCTTTAAATACATTTTGAGACTTTTTTGTTGTGTAATTTGAAACGAAGTATAGTGGTGAAATTTTCAAAAAGTTTATGATAAAAGATTGCAGTCATGCAACGAGATATATTAAAACTAATCCCAAACTATAAAAATAAAGCAAAGAAGAGAACGTGGATTCCACAATTTTTATACAGGTTTTAGATTCATTATTTGTTCTCTCAACTTTCATCTCTTAATTTCTTCAATCTTTCTTTTCTTGTTATTTAAGTAAACACTTACTCTAACACCATTATTATTTCTAACGCAAGGATAAGAAACACAAAAAAATAACAAATAACTCTTACAAATATATGTCAAAATAACCATGTTTGATCATTGAAATCTATTACACAAACATACATTAAAGTAACTATGCTTGATCATCAAAATATTTTACAAAAAGCAATTTGGAACACAAAAACATCAAGTAATTATTTTCTCAAAACACATGTTAAAGTAATTATGCTTAATCACGAAGAATGATGAATAATATATGAGTTGAAGATCCAACGAAGGAGACAACGAGAGGCGAGAGCTTCGAGTACTGTAGATGGGTGCTTAGAGCGAGAGTTGCAAGTTGAGAGTTGAAATAACAACAAAAAATATTTCAAATAACAACTTATTTTCAAAATCCATAATTTAGTATCAATAATTACACACAAAATTGACATGTAAAAACAAATAGAATAATCAGAATGAAGAACACGAACACATACTGTGTTGCAACGGAGAAATAAAAGATATCAAAATGAAAAAATAAAGAATGGAGAATGCACGGAGATCAAAGAGATAAGACGAGATAAATATTATAACTTGTGAAAAAAACTTTCTTCCAATTTTAGAGAATGAGTTTTCATTTGTGTTCCTCTTTTCCTTTTTTCTTGTATTTTTTTGTTTGTTTTGCATAATTTAAATATTTATTTATTTTTAAATTCATAAGTTTGACTTTATAAAAAAAAATTCATAAGTTTGTTAGAAGAAATTGTCAAATTAGGTTTAATGGAAATCCATAATTTTTTATAAATTTTTTGATTAAGTTGTTGTGCAAGCATATATGTTATTATAGAAGACTATTGGATTGTGAATCTTCTCGTATTGGAGGATGATTCATTCAATTTCTTCAATTTCTAGACAAGTGAGGACTCACATGATTTTTTTTCTTCTTTTGTTATTTGGTTTTGCGCTCGTGCACGGGTTCGCTAGATAGTGTTTTTTATGTGTGTATTTGTTTTAAATTTTTAAATCTTTTTTGTCGTATCCGAGTTGTTTATATACTCTCTTTAAATCGATGATGTGATTTTTGTGTGTTTGATTGATATCTTCCCGTTTGATGTACTTTCTTTTTTACTTTTTTATATATTTGGCTTTATAATAAAAAATCAATTAAATACTATAAATTTAATAACATAAAACACGTGAGAAATATCCATGTTCTAGAAAAATTTAGAGAATTAAAAATAATATCAATAATAATAATATATTTTTAAAGAACAAAAATTTATCTAAAATAATAATAATAATAATAATATATTTTTAAAGAACAGAAATTTATCTAACCATAATGTAGTAAGAAAATAAAATGCTCGACATATAAACTTTTTTTTAAATAATCAATTTCTCTTGTTTTCTCTGTTGTTGCTCGATTAGACACTTAACCAAAGAGAAAATAACGCTTGCGTGCTTTCTGCGTTTAGATCTCAACGCGCTGTGTGCTACCACCACCACCACCACCATCATCTAACACAAAAAAAAAACTGAGAGAAGAAAACTAATGAATCGTTGAACCACCCTCGCCTGAATGAAACCCTCTACGACGTCGTCTCACACCTCTCCCCGATCCTCAATCAAGGTTCTCTTCTTCTTCTTCTTCTTCATTTCGTTCATTCAATTTTCATTTCTAGATTCCGTTTTTTCGAATCAGACGGTTATGTTATGCTCTGTTTGGTTTACGCTTAAATAGAAATGAATTTTTGAAAAAAGCTTCAAAAACAGCACCGATGCATTGTTTTTGTTGATGATTGTGTTTTTTTTTTTTTGGATCACTGTTGTTGCTTGTGTTAATCGTATTGAAATTTGATTTGATTCGATGTAGGATAAGAAGAGGATCTGAATTATGAAGCAAGATTAGGTGTGGTGATTATAGTGGGTAGCAAGAACGGAGTGGATCGGAAAATGGACAAGAGTAAGAGCCGTACCGATCTACTCGCAGCTGGCAAAAAAAAGGTATATCTCTATTTCAATTTCTTCTTTCTCAAGTGTGTGTCTGTGTGATTTGAGTAGAATTAGATGCACCTCTTGCATTGTTGTTAAATAACTATAGCATAGTGGAATTCTGTAGCGCCGACACCTCTGAAAAATAATGTGTTACTGTCGTGTTTCCGGTGTCCGTGCTTCATAGGTGGAGTTTGAACAAATCACTATTACTTTGCAATACTCTATTTAGTTTAAAGCGTTGCTATATAGAAGCTACAGCATATGTCGTAGTGGAGTTTGAACAATTCACTATTGTTCCGTGATACACTATTTAGTGCAAAGTATTGTCAACTTATCATTAAGCGGCTATAGGCTATATATATATAGCATAGTGGAATTCCAACAAATCACTATTTTTCGGTGATATGCTGTTTAGTACAAAGTGTTCTCTAATACAAGCTACAGTGGCGCTAAAACAATGTAACATAGCAGAAACAAACTGGTTTTTTCGGTGATCTGACATTGGAAGCACAGGCCTCTGTTTTTTTCTTCTGTTAGATAGTGGTTGTTTAGGATTTAGTAAATTGTTACCAACGGGAAGAATTTTTGGATAGTGTGAGGTAATGTTGCAGGTTAGAAAGATATAACACATAGTTCATAATGGTTGTAAAGGCTTAGACTTTTATTAAATACGTTATGCGCAAAAACAAACCTATACAAGAGAGTCTATCTCTTTGATTTTGTTGTGAAGGGTTATGATTTGTACTTTCTACTTTTTAGTGTACTAAACTTTGTAGAGGATCAAAGGTCTGGTTTGGATTAGCTTCCTATCTTGCGGGAGGGTTTGAATTAAAATAAGTTTATGGTTAATTGTTATTCAATTAATGGAATTTTTTTATAAGCTTGTACTTATAGGTGTTTATATGGATAAAGCTTATACTTATAATTTTTTTCTTCTGATAAATGCTTGTGCAGAAGTTTATTCAAACTGATTCCAAATCCACCTAAGAAAATAGTGTGGCATACTGTATACCGAATCTTGTAGTTATTCAACTGTTCATTTTCATTTTTTTAGGATCACAAAATATGCGATTTTATCTTTTTCTTCCTATTTGTTTTCTCCCACTAGTCTGCATCAGGCATATATAGGGTGGCAAATTTGAATGGTTGCAGTTATGAATTTTGATTCTTATACTTTTATTGTCAGCTCCAACAATATCGTCAGAAGAAGGATAATAAAGATAACAAAGGTGGTAGTAGCCGTGGGAAATCATCAAAAAAGTCTTCCAAACATCAGCTACCTGAGTCTGATGCTGATACTGATGCTGCCAGTGTTACCTCTACAGGATCGTCTCAGGTTACTGATGGAAATGTTGAAACCAACAGTGACTCCAATGTTGTTATCACTGAACCAATAGAATCACAGTCTTTGGCAAGCTCAACAGCCGCTGACAATGTTGATCCATCTGTTGATTCTTCGTCAGTGGTCAAGACATCTGATACAGGTGAAGAAACTGATTTGGATTCTAATGCTAAGTTTGCACTTCAGGGTCGTGGGGTCCACGAGAAGGATTCTGAACTGTCTGTTGAAGATCAACGAGGGAGTTCTCAGAATATTGGTGCTAATGTGGCGAAAGATGCGTCTTTTACAAGTTCGTCGGCTCCTGACAATGTTGATCCATCTTTTGATTCATCATCAGTGGCCATGACATATGATACAAGCCACGAAACTGAATTGGATTCTAGTGCTAAGTTAGCACTTGAGGATCATGAAGTCCTTGAGAACGATTCTGAATTGTCAGCCCAAGATCAAGGGGGAAGCTCTCAGAATGTTGGTGCTGATGTAGCAGAAGACGTTTCTTTGAGAACTTCAAATATTGAAGGAAGAACAACATACGATCATGCATCCAAGCCTGTTGCTCTTTTGTCCACGCATGCTTCTATTGCAACTGCTGTGGATGAGTCTATCACAGTTGAAAAAGAGAGTGAAAAAAGAGAAAGATCGTTGCCTTTATCTGAAGATATTTCCAATACATTTGTGGTGCAAACGAGAGAAGATCAGGTAACAAATTTAGGTTGTGCTCTCTCTCCTTGCCTCTTTAGTTTAACTTCAGAACTTTATGTTTAATTATGAGGGTATTAGTTGGGCAGACCGGGAAAAATCATATGTGGATTTGATTTATAATTTATATTCTCATTTATTGCTGGGTAGGGGCAATGCAGGAAGCTGATGATTTGGATATGGCGAAACCTTGTCAAAGCACTGATGCTATTATAGATGATCAAAAGGAGATTCCTTTGTTTGAAGCCGGTGAGAGTGATCAGTCTCTTTCAGGATTTGCTTTGGAGAATACTATAATTGAGGAGGCATCTCATGAAGTGGAACAACTAGACAGGCCAGTTGAATTATTCTCCCCTTTTGAAGACATTGTGTCAGATAAGAATTCAGGTTCTGATAAAGGCCAGCATGATGATTTTGCAACTGTAGGGACTTCAATGAAAAATTTGGAGAGAGAAACATTACCAGGTTCATCTAATGATGAAATGATTCTTCAGTCTAATCAAGAGCAGATAAGCAAGGGAGTCCTTAGTGGACAGGATGTAGCGCTTCATGAGGGGCTTAACCAGCAATGTACTCTTGTTGGATCTGCAGCTGATAATTCCACTCACGAGTTGTCAACCAGAGCTTCGACCAGATTGTTTGATCTCTCTCCTATTTCTGATGCGAGCTCAGTTAATCTTTTGCAGTTAGCTGAACTTATAAGAGGCCTTAATGAAGATGAGTATCAGTTTCTGCTCAAGGCAAGAGGAGCATTTTCTGATCCAGATCCATTAACCAGTTGTTCAGTTTTACCAGATCATGCCTCTTCAGAAGCGTTTCAGAGGCTGAAAGAAGAATTGTTTCTTGCTCATATGATGCAAAATATATTCAGTATGCAGCTAGCTGAACAACTGGACCTCCAATCGGAATCTGATTATCACCGTTACCAGTTGATCGGTGAACTATCGCAGCTCCATGATTCACGCAATGAAGTTAATGAGAACAATCAGCGGCTTAATGAAGAACTTGCTAACTGCCGTGTAGAACTACATAATAGTTCTAGCAAGAGTGTAGAACTACAGAACCAATTTGATACTGCAATGACAGGGATTGAAACTCTTTCTGCCAGAGTAGTTGAGCTACAGATTAGTTTTGAAATGTCTGAGAAAGATTCATTGGATCTATCCACAGAGTTGGCCGACTGCAGAAGTTTGATCTCAAGTTTACAGGATGAAAAGAAGGGTGTGAGCGAAACTCTTGATTTGGTGATTTCTGAGAAAAATAAACTTGCAGAGGAGAAAGAGTCTAACCTCTATGAAAGTCAGAAGCTGGCAACTGAATTGTCTTGCTTAAAGAGTTCAACGGAAGCAGTAGAAGTCGAAAATTCCAACTTAATTGACAGGATCTCTTTGGTGACTGAAGAGAGCAATACGTTCAAGGCAGAAATCAAGCATCTCTTGCAAGAGATCGATAGAATTTCATTAGATTTGGTTGAAAATAAAGATTTGGTGGCAAGTCTACAGAGCGAAAATTCCAATTTAAATGAGAACCTTGCATTGTCAGTTGATAAGATTAAAAATCTGGAAGATGATAATCAATCTGTTGTTCTTGAGAATCAAAGCCTCACTTCTCAGATTGTTTCCATACAAGAACAATTATCTATAGAAAAGGGAGAACGGATGAGATTTGAAGATGACCTTAAAGAAGCCACAGTGCACTTGGAACAACTTTCCAAGGAAAATGTGTCACTTAATAGTACTTTAGATGAGCACAAGGCTAAAATAGAAGAAATTGCAGTTACTAAAAATTCTCGGCAGATAGGTCAGGAGCTAGATGATGGCGCAGCAGGGGGACCATTTGAAAATATACCTGAACAAGAAATTTTCAATGACTCTCTTGGGTTTGTTTCATTGAAGACTGATTTGAATGAGATGGAGAATGTTTTGGTGAAGCTTGAAAAGGCAATTGATAAGTTACATTCTCAATCAGTAATCTCTAGCAGGACTTCTGAGAAAGTTTCTTCACCCGTGGTATCAAAATTGATACAGGCTTTTGAACCAAAAGTAAATGAAACCGAGCACGAGGTAGAGATAAGTGGTTCAACTGATGTGCAGTCACAATCAAATTCACTTATTATGTTAACTGAAAAGCAAGTAGGAAACTTGAGAAAATTGTTATCAAAGTGGAAGCTGGATGTTCAGAGCGCAGATTCATTGTTCAAGGGGGAACGAGATGGTAGGAAAGTTGGGGATGCAAAGTATGGTGATCTTAAGGACCAGTTTGAAGGATTGAAGCAACGTTGTTCAGATTTTGAAGCATCTAACATCGAACTTGCAGTTCAATATGAAACAGTTAAACAACTTCTGGGCGACATTCAAGAAAAGAAATGTCATCTTGAGGAAATCTGTGAAGCTCTTAAACAAGAAGATATTCACCTGAAAGCCAAAACTAATGAACTCTATGACAAGCTTGGATACTGTCATTCAAAATTGATTGAATTGCTTACTGAAATGAATGATGTGAAACTAAGTTCAAATGAGATGGCTTCTGTTATTGGCAGTCAGCTGGAAATTTTGCAGAAGGAGGTGACAGAGAGGGCGGTGCTACTTGAGCAAGGCTGGAATACTACTATTGATGAGATTGTTAAGTTAGTTGTGAAGCTGAATGAATCAGTTGGGGAAATATCACATACAACGGTCTCTTATGACACCCATGATGGCTTGCATATCAGTCATTGGTTAGATGCTTCTGTTAGTGCTGCCACTGAAATGATTTTTGGTCTGCAGAAGAAACTTGAAGCTTCTAATGCAGATCATGAAATAATCTCCATGTCACATAAAGAAATGACCACGAAATGTGAACATCTGCTTGAGAGGAATGAAATGGCTTTCGATGTACTACATAAAATATACAGTGACTTGAGGAAACTTATGTTGAGGAGTGGTTGGTCGTTGGATGAAGATAAGATAGATGATCAAAGTGAGGCACTGCCTGATTTACTGAATTATAATAACTATGAGACCATCATGAAGCATTTGGGGGATATATTGATTGAAAAGCTGGAGTTGGAGTCTGTTACCAATAAGATGAAGTCAGAATTGGTGCACAAGGAAACTGAATATGAAGAATTGAAGATAAAGTGTCTTGGTTTAGATTCTGTTGGAAAGCTAGTTAATGATGTTGCAGGTGTGCTGCATGTGGAAACTCTGAATATTGAAATAAACACATCGCCCCTTTTGCACTTAGATTCGTTAGTGTCTAGTCTTGTACAGAAAACCAAAGAGGCTGAAATCCAGAATCACGCCAATAAAGAAGACGATGGATCTAAGGAGATGGAATTGGATGAACTGAAAGAAAAAATGCATTATCTAGACATGCTGCGTCTTGAGAATGAAAATGAAATCTTTGTTCTAAGAGAAAGCTTACATCAAGCTGAGGAAGCTCTTTCTACTGCACGTTCCGAATTGCGTGAGAAAGCAAATGAACTCGACCATTCAGAGCAACGAGTGTCCTCCATCCGGGAGAAACTTGGCATAGCTGTTGCCAAGGGAAAAGGATTAGTTGTACAGCGTGATGGCCTCAAGCAGTCGCTAGCTGAGACGTCTACTGAATTGGAGAGATGCTCGCAAGAGTTGAAGTTGAAAGATACAAGACTTCACGAGCTTGAAACAAAACTTAAGACCTATTCAGAGGCCGGGGAACGCGTGGAAGCTCTGGAATCTGAACTTTCATATATTCGTAATTCAGCTAATGCCTTGAGAGAGTCATTTCTGCTCAAAGATTCAATGCTTCAGAGGATAGAAGAGGTTTTGGAAGACCTAGATCTGCCTGAGCAGTTTCATTCGAGTGATATAATAGAGAAGATTGATTGGTTGGTTAGGTCAGTTGTTGGCAACTCATTGCCCATGAATGACTGGGAGCAGAAAGATTTTGCAGGAGAACGTTCATATTCTGATGCTGGTAATGCAGTCACAGATTCTTGGAAAGATGATAGTCAGCTACAACCAGATTCAGGGGACGATGCAGGTAGACGTTCATACTCTAATGCTGGTTTTGTTGTCACAGATTCGTGGAAAGATGATAGTCAGCAACAACTAGATTCAGAGGGTGATTTTCAAAAAAACTATGAGGAGTTGCAGAGTAAATACTATGGGCTGGCTGAGCAAAATGAAATGCTGGAGCAGTCATTGATGGAAAGGAACAGCTTAGTTCAGAGATGGGAGGAGCTTGTAGACAAGATTGACATGCCTTCTCATTTGCGGTCTATGGAGATGGACGGTAGGATTGAGTGGGTAGGAAGGGCACTTGCCGAGGCTAATCATCATGTAGATTCTCTGCAGCTGAAAATTGAAAGATATGAAAGCTATTGTGGATTGCTAAATACTGATCTGGAAGAGTCTCAGAGGAGAATGTCCACTCTTCAAGAAGACCTTAAAGCTCACACATCGGAGAGAGAGCACCTTTCTGAAAAAATAGAGGCTCTGAGACATGAATGCGAGAAACTATCAGTGCAGACAAGGGGAGCTGAACTTGAGAATGAAAATCTGCACGGAGAAATTACTAGTTTGAAGGATCAGCTGGAGCAGAAAGCTGAAATTGAAGAACAGATTTTCACCATCGATGGCAAGATAAAAAAATTACAAGACTTAGTTGGCGATGCCTTGCCAGAATCTGAAACAGAATATCTGGTTTCTGATGGTACAAATATTGATTCTTTGGAAGAATTGCTGAGAAAGCTTATAGATAATCACGCTAGTCTTTTATCAATGAAATCAATGTGTGAGAAAGCTCACACATCGGAGAGAGAGCACCTTTCTGAAAAAATAGAGGCTCTGAGACATGAATGCGAGAAACTATCGGTGCAGACAAGGGGATCTGAACTTGAGAATGAAAATCTGCACGCAGAAATTACTATTTTGAAGGATCAGTTGGAGCAGAAAGCTAAAATTGAAGAACAGATTTTCACCATCGATGGCAAGATAAAAAAATTACAAGACTTAGTTGGCGATGCCTTGTCAGAATCTGAAACAGAATATCTGATTTCTGATGGTACAAATATTGATTCTCTGGAAGAATTGTTGAGAAAGCTTATAGAAAATCATGCTAGTCTTTTATCAATGAAATCAATGCGTGGCATTGTACTTGATGGACATCGTTCACAAAATGACGATGCTACACTAAATGAGGAAAAAAGTATTGATATGCATGATAAGGATCAAGCAGATATTGATAGATACAAGAAAGATCTGGAGGCAGCTTTGAGCGAATTGGAGCATTTGAAGGAGGAGGGAGGGAGAAATTTGGAAAAGCAAATATCTCTATCTTGTAAAGTTGAAGCTCTGAGTAAAAGAACTGAGGAGTTGCAAGAGCTTCTTAATCAGGAAGAGCAGAAATCTGCTTCTGCAAGAGAGAAACTAAATTTTGCAGTCAGGAAAGGGAAGTCATTGCTGCAACAACGAGACAGTCTAAAACAAACCATTGGAGAGATGAATGTTGAGATGGAGCACTTGAAATCTGAGATCAAAAAACGAGAACACATTATTGCGGAGCATGAACAGAAGATGAGGCAGTTATTAACCTACCCAGATAGGTTAAAAGCACTTGAATCTGAGAGTTCTCTTCTGAAGCATCGTTTGGAAGAAACTGAACACCATTTGCAGGAGAAAGAGTATTCCTTGAAACTGATTTTGAACAAGCTAGGTGAGATTGATGTTGCAGGTGAAGGTCATATAGGTGATCCGGTGAAGAAGCTGGAATGGATCGGAAAATTGTGTTCTGATCTCCATAACTCTGTCGCTTCTTTCGAACAGGAATCCAGGAAATCTAAAAGAACATCAGAACTCCTGTTGGCAGAGTTGAATGAGGTTCAAGAAAGGAATGATAGTTTTCAGGAGGAGCTTGCTAAGGTGGCTGATGAACTTGTGGATCTCAGAAGAGAAAGGGATTCAGCGGAGGCTGCCAAACTGGAAGCTCTTTCACATGTTGAAAAGTTATCTACATTACATGAGGAAGAAAAACAGAGCCATTTTTATGAGCTCGTGGAAATAAAATCTAGCATGAACCAAGTCTGGAAAAGCTTTGGTGAGGTTCAGAATTTACTCGCTAAGACTTTTTTCACAGATTTGGAATCTTTTCGGAATGTGGAAGTTGGTCTTGAGTTGTGTATGAAAGGATACAATGCTCCAAATGTGGTGGATTCATCTTCCAGAGAAGAACGTGATGGTATTTTACTAAAGTCACCTGATAATAAGGTACAATTATCACATGAATATCTACTAGTCATATACAATGATATTTTGCAATCAATTTTGATATTTTTATATACTGCATCAACTGTCTTTTATGCGTTATATTATGAGAATCAGTAATAGATTGTAGTCTGCTGTCAGGCTGATATTTGACAACGATTTGTTAGTTTAATTTCTTATACTATTTTGTTGTTCGGGGTGGGATGAGTAGCTTTGGTCAGATTGACATATTTATTGAGCTTGAAAGGAAGTTGGACTGAGAAATTCTTCATTTTTCCATAAAGAATTTGGATGTGATGAATTTTCTTGACAATATGCACATAGCTTGATCTAGAGTTAATCTAATAGTAGTCCTTTAGTAATTATTTCACCAAAAGTTGCTCCGCCTTTTCATTATCATTTTTATGAAAGAGTGCATGAATAATATAGTCTTCAATGTATTAATTTTCTTTAAATTGATATCCCAAATTTTATTCCTTTAATATTGTGGCTTCTAGTTTGTCTTCAATGTATTAATTTTCACGTGGGGCATAATTATATACCTTACTATTATTTGGGTTATCTGACACCCTTGATTTTTCTTCAGACGGGCTCTGTGTATGCAGATTCTTGGTCAGAATTTGGCACGACCGACCACTATAATGATAATACCATTATTGAAATTTTTCATCTACTTGGGCATAAACTGCAAGAGTTTTTGGTGGAGGTCAGCTCTCTTAAGGAAAGAATACACACGCACTCCAGTTCGGCACGTGAGCAAGACAAAACCCTGTTGAAACTAATGACAAATATTCAGAGAGAAATTACTTCCCAAAGAGAATCTTTTGAAAAGATAAAGACAGAAGTTAGTAAACGAGATCTGCAACTTATTGCATTGCGGGGGAACGTTGCCCACCTTTATGAATCATGCATCAATTCTGTCACTGTACTAGAGAACGGAAAAACTGAACTGCTTGGAGAAAAGGTTGAATTTCCAGATCAAGGGATTAACTTGAAAGCACCGTCATTTGATGATGAAATATCCGAGGAATGTGTTAAAACCATGGCTGATAGACTGCTGTTGGCTGCAAATGGGTTCGCTAGCATAAAAACTGACTTTTTAGAGGCTAATCAAAAGGAAATGAAGGCTACTGTAACAAATTTACAGAGGGAGCTTCAGGAAAAGGATGTTCAAAGAGACATAATTTGTGCAGACCTGGTAAAACAGATTAAGGATGCTGAAGCTGCTGCCAAAAGTTACTCTCAAGAACTTCAATCTCTTAGGATGGAGGAGCATGATTTGAAAAAACAGATAGAAGTGATTGAAGGAGAAAAGAAGATACTTGAGCAGAGAATCAAGGAGCTGCAGGATAGGCAAGGGATTGCAGCAGAACTAGAGGATAAAGTAAGATCTCAGACTGCTTTGCTGGCTGCCAAAGACCAAGGTGGGCTTTATATGATTCCTAAAATCTTTAAAAAGTGAACTGGTAATATATATTTTATAAACTAAAACTTACACTGTTTCTGTAACTTAATGATTTATTGCAGAAATTGAATCCTTAATGCATGCACTTGACGAGGAAGAGGTGCAAATGGAAGAACTGACAAAGAAAAATGCAGAACTTGAAAAGGCTGTTCAACAAAAGAATCAAGAGGTTGAGAACCTTGAATCTTCTCGTGGTAAAGTTATGAAAAAGCTTTCTGTAACTGTAAGCAAGTTTGATGAACTTCACCACCTATCTGCAAATCTCCTGTCTGAGATTGAAAAGCTTCAGTCCCAATTGCAAGAAAAAGATTCCGAAATTTCTTTCTTAAGACAAGAGGTTACTCGATGCACTAATGATGATCTCCGTGCATCACAACTGAACAACCAGAGAAGTCTGGATGAGATCGTTGAGTTCTTTATGTGGGTTGACACAATTGTATCTCAAGATGGGATGGATGATATACTTCCTGATGTGAAGAGTGATGCTCAGGTTCACGAGTACAAAGAAATACTTCAGAAGAAGTTGATGTCTTTAATATCAGAGTTAGATAATCTAAGGGAAGTTGCAGAAAGCAGGGATGAAATGTTGCAAGCAGAAAAGAGTAAAGTAGCAGAGTTGAGCCATAAAGCAGAAACGCTTGAGAAGTCCTTGCGTGAGAAAGAATCACAATTGAATTTGCTTGATGGTGTGGAAGAAACTGGAAAGGGAATTGCCTCAAGCTCAGAAATTGTGGAGGTAGAACCAGTGGTAAGGAATACAAAATTTTATATTGAATCATAAAATAGAGATAATGTTAGAACCTGATCTTCAATTAAAAATACATGAAATATAAGATTTGCACTTATTCTCCTTGGGCACATCATTGATTCACTCTGATTGAGTATGACAGTTGTTATTTCTTAAAAACAAAAATAAAGCATAAGGTAATGAAAAAAAGATTCAATATTTTCTTTTTTTGGTACACATTACATAGATACACAATCACGACAGTTAGGATAATGGATTTAAAATATGAGGTATTGAATTTATTTACTCTTATTTTATTTTATTTCTTTTACAGATAAATGAATGGACAACAAAAGGGACATTTGTTACACCTCAAGTTCGCAGTTTACGCAAGGGCAATAGCGATTATGTTGCCATTGCTGTTGATGAAGATCCTGGTAGTACTAGTAGGATAGAAGACGAAGATGACGACAAGGGTAATTTTGCACTACTTTGCCTGTGTGCTGTCACCTGGTGCTCTCAAGTACTATGGTTCCGATTATTAACTTTTGGTTTCCCAACTTTTTCTTGCAGTTCATGGTTTCAAATCACTCACATCATCCAAAATTGTCCCAAGATTTACCAGACCACTAACTGACTTGCTTGATGGCTTGTGGTAGGTCTATTTTTCCCTCTGTTGCATGGTTTAAAATTTTCTTTTAATTTGATAAATGACACGCATTCGTGCTTTGCAGGGTTTCTTGTGATCGAACTTTAATGAGACAACCGGTTTTGCGGCTTGGAATTATAATTTATTGGACCATAATGCATGCGCTCCTTGCTTTCTTTGTTGTCTGATGCTCTAGAGTTGGCTTTGTATAATCAATTGGCCTTAAAATCCTAAGCAAGGCATAGGAGGTTATAGATTGGAAAGTTTGAAAAAGGATTCAGTTTAGTTGTACAGTGTCTTCCTTCAACTTGCTTCTTCCTGTTGTGGTTTGGCGATTATAAACCATAAGAAAATAAAGATGCAGCTGCGAGAAAGGATACCAGTCTGCAATGAAGAAAAAATGAGATAGCAGATTGCTCAATATTTGAAGAGCAAAGGATGAAGAGCCTGCTACATAAAACACTAGGAGGTTTGTTTTTACAAAGAACCTGGTGGGTTTTACATTGAACAGAAGATACTGTGACTGTTTTTTTTAAGGGAAAGCAAATTTTGGGTCATCATGTGAACTGGATAAATTAGGTATAGAAAAAACGTAATTCTTTTGTAAGTTTTTTCTCCCTACTTAGGCATAAGAAACTTAAGTTGCCATTCTTTTTCATAGTATATTATATCGATCATATCAATGTTATTATTTTTTTTTTTTTGCAGTTTTCAGTCATTAAAAATATATAACCATGTAAAACCAATAACATGTTTAGATTTTTATCTTATTACTAGAATCAGGAATATTAATCTTCACTGTCAAATGTCAACACAACCATCTCAATAAGTTAGAGTATGAATTAGTTTCACCTTATAAAACCGGTTGTAAAGGTGAGGAGCGTCACTCTATATAAATTCTTTCAATGCTCTATCTCCAATCAATGTGGAATTTTAGGATCTTTCTAACACAATATCAATATAACACTGATAAGGACTTCGGACGGGAGGAGGTTGGACGGGTTTTGGAAAATGATATTTTGAAATAATATAGAGAAATTTTTATTATTTTTTTAAAAGAATGATTTTATATGGAATTTATTATTAACATATTTTTAATTTTTTAAAATATTATAATAACGTATACTATATTTAAATAATTCTTGTTTAAATTCTCCACTCTAAAACTCTTTAAACCCATCCACCAATTAGTTCTTCTAAATCAAAAAAAAAAAAAAAGGTTTTTGAATATAAATAAATTCTCCAAAGCCCTCTTATTTTTCTCTCGATAATTTTTTTTTCATCATTAAAAGAATGGAATTTTTTAACACACTCTACTAGTAACAAACCCGTGCTATCGCACGGGTCTCGTCTGGATTCACATTACATTTATAGATTATTAAATTATTAAGTATGTTACCATGTTTTCAGTTGAGTATATGTCTCATGTAAACCATGTTGGCATTTAACTCCATATTTATAGCAAGCGTCGGTCCTATCAACAAATCACGTCTGCATGAACAAATAGGAAAAATTATATACTTCTTGAAATACATGGAAAATGTACATACTATATATTTTAATTCAAAATAGATTTTTAATTTGAATCGTAAAGTATAAGATATAAAGTTTACCAACTATCAAAGTGCTTGAAAGACTTCCTTGTACACAACATTAGTAGTAGTAGAACACGGTACATTCTCCTTGTCATGAATTAGGATTTTTAGCCCACTTTTGCTCTTAACTCTTGAAATTGCAACATATAATTGACCATGACTAAACACAGGAGTAGGCAAATACAATCCAACACTATCAAGAGATTGACCTTGTGACTTATTAATTGTCATTGCATAGGAGATAATAATCGGAAATTGTCTCCTAATCAACTTGAATGGCCAAGGTGAATCAGAAGGTGACATAGACATTCGTGGAATGTAAAAAATGTTACCTATGTTCTTTTCAAACATGATTTTTGCCTCAATGACATGATTTGCAAATCTTGTAACAATTAATCTTGTCCCGTTGCACAACCCATCGGCTTGGTCCAAATTTCTCATTAGCATAATAGGTGTACCAACCTTCAATTTGATCCTATGATTGGGAAGCCCTGACGTTCTTAATTTACTGAGAAATTCAGGAGTTAGAACTTCATATGCTTCAGTATAACTTGAATCTGTTCTATCAATGAAATCAAAACTCAAATACTCTTTCTCTTCTCCTAAAAAAAGTTTAAAAGCAAAACATAAATAAATTAGTAAAACTATGTTCTTAAATATATATATATATATATATATATATATATATATATATATATATATATATATATATATATATATATATATATATATATATATATATATTATGAATGTAATAATACAGTAAATATAAAACACATGTACCTGGTATCAAGTCTAATACATAATGATTGATTTTGTCCACAACTTCAATGGTTGAAGCAAGAATAGCCTTTCCTTGTAAGAATTCAACATCTTGATATTTTTCCAATAAATTGGGATATGTGTTTTCAACAATTGCTCTTATAGGATCATCAAAATTTGATATTAATAGCTCTTGAGGAATTTCAATATCAACCAAACCATCATTGGGTTCACAAATCTTACCATCACCCACATTTAAAATCCATTTTGAAAATTCCGCTAGTTCATTAGAACTTGTGTTGTCTCTTCCCTCTTGAAGTCTCATATTTTTTGATAGTGTTAAAACCTGGCAATAATCCCATACATAAGATGAACTAATTGATGCATGAACAATATCAGAACGCCCAGCTCTTGGAACAACAGGAAGAATCTGTCTAAAATCTCCTCCAAATACAACAACTTTTCCACCAAAAATAGTATTCTCAACACCCTTTTTGCTCATTACATCTTTAAGGGTTTTATCCAATGCTTCGAAGCAGTTCTTGTGAGACATAGGTGCGTCATCCCATATTATCACATTCGTTGCTTCAAATAATTGAGAATGTTCGGTGTCTTTGTCGATGTTGCAAGTTGAGTTGTCAAGCGTTGGCACAGGTATTTTGAACTTTGAGTGTGCTGTTCTTCCACCCGGCAATAATAACGAAGCTATCCCACTTGAAGCAACAGTAAGAACAATTTTTTTTTGAGAACGAAGTGCACTTGATAGTGTTCTCCACATGAAAGTTTTACCAGTCCCTCCATAACCATGCAAGAAAAATACCCCTCCACTCTGTTTGTTAACAGCATCCATGATTTTCTCAAATATCAAACGTTGTTCATCTATAAAATACAATCCAACAGTATCAAGTAATTGACATTGGGATTTATTAATTGTCATTGCGTTAGAGACAATAATTGAGAATTTTCTCTTAATCAACTTAAATGATCACGGTGACTCAAAATGTGACATAGACATTCGAGGGATGTAAAAGATGTTATCTATGTTCTTTAGAGGCATGACTAATAAATATAGACTAATAATATGCACTTTTTTTAAGCATTAATATGCATTTATAATAAATCATACAGACTATTCACTAACTTCAATTATATAAGATTTAAAAGATGAATATTAAAATTAACAATCTATAGCCAGTATCTCATAGATGCGTTCTCATCTACCCGTGAATTAAGATGATTTAACAAACCCAGTTGAATCCAAATGAATTAGTTCTAAAAATTTATTAAATCTATTTTAGATATCAATCCATTTTTCCAAACTTAAAATATATGACAACTCCCGTCAAATTTATACTTTTATATTATATGTGCTCACATCTACGTGAGTTAACGAACTTCAGTTGAATCCAAATGAATTAATTTTAAAAATTTATTAAACATATTTTATATATTAATCCATTTTTTCAAATTAAAAATGTATGACATCTCCCGTCAAATTTCAATTTTAAAACTTTTATATTATATTATATTTACATAATTTTTTACAACCTATAATGTATAACAGTTTCCCGTTAAATTATAATTATTTTTAAAAAGGACATAAAAAATAAATAAAATTTATAGATAAAACTATTATATATTATTTTCTATATTTATTTAATGAATGAAATTTATTTTAGATGAATTTATTATCTAATTTGTATTTAAAAATATAACTTAATTGTCATTTAAAACAGTACATTCAATTCTTTAACTTCAATTATCTGGTATGTCATAGATACATTTATTCTACCCGTGAATTTATTTCATGTACTCAGTTGGTTAATATTAATATAATTACAATATATAATCATTTATCAAATTTGAATTTCTCATTTATAAAAATAATTTTAAATTATTCTCGTTTATAAAAATGAACGCGTGTGTCTATTTATAAAAATATATGAAACTTATACTCTTTTATAAATATAATTGTATCAATAATTGAATTTTTCTGGTTTATAAAAATATTTATAATTTATTCATGTTTATAAAAATTATTATAATTTATTTTTAGTTTGTAAAATTAATTATATTAATATGTAGACTTTTTCTCGTTTATAAGTGTCTTTAACCCGTGTGACAATTTATAAAAACATTTTAACTTATTCATATTAAAAACAATTACATCAATATTTGAATTTTGTTCGTTTATAAAAATATTTGTAAGTTATTTAAGTTTATAAAAATAATTGTAAAAATAAATATTTACCATATCATCTTAAATTTATTTATTCAACAGTGATAAATATGTGTCTCTTAGTTAATTACATTTATAAATAAATATCGTGTATTAGTGATATATATTAAATTTATTATCTTAATGTCTAACTAATTAAAATGAATTTATTATTGTCAATCAAAAATTATAATATTAAATAATAATATAATATTATTATTATATACGGGAAAAAGAATAAATTAAATCTAAGAATATCGGAAAATTTATTATAATATTAAATAATAATTTAACATTTATTATTACAATGAATCATATATAATATTTCAAAATTATGTATTTATTTCTTATGTTTTATTATATTCGATTTGTAATAAATATTTTTCAGTTTATTGCGAATTTTCAATAATTAAATATTAATGATATTATATAAAATTAATTTCATGAAATAAGTTTATTTAATAAAGTGTTATATAAATATTTAATACATTATATTATACCATTAATTTATATAAAATGATATTAACTTATTCCTGTTTATAAAATTATTGTAACTTTTTTCCGGTTTATAAGCATGTTGAATTCGTGTGTCAATTATTAAAATATATGTAAT